GCAGATGTCGAGATTGTCGAAGGCGTTTGGCCAAACCAACAGCCTTTGTCGCTTTCGGCAAGGTTTTCTTCTCTTTCCTTGATAATATGGAGCTTTTTCTTTCTTCTTTGGGTCGGTTTTTTTCGTTTTCTTTACCCAAGGACTTTTTTCTGTTTTTGATTTTTCCATAGGAGTTAGCGTAAAGAGTTTCCACGTGGGAATTTTTGTCAAGTGCGTGATGTAAATAAGAATATGCAAATGACATGAAATACGAGCAATGAGCGTTTGCCGCGAAAATTTCCCCAGGGTTCTCGTCCGTTGACGAGATTGTGACACCTTCCTAGTTTATTAACTTTATTTGAAAATACGTTTTTTCTAAATAAATCGGCCGCTTTTTGAGATTTTTAATGTTTTTCTTTTGGAAACACTAGATAAAATGACGAGCTTAAAATTTGTCCAATAAAAGAAAAAACGATTTTTTTGGCCTCTGAAGGTGGGAAGTAACCTTGAGAAACAGAATAAATAAGACGACACAATTTTCGACATGTCTTGACATATCCTACCGTAACCGTTCAAAAGATCTAGAGGTTATTTAAATCATGCTCAGAATAAATTCGAATAGGTCTCCCCTCAGGGAATGTCTTCACAAACACTTTACCGTCGATGGTCCACACTCCTAGCAGCGATAACTCTTCTTTCCTAGCATTAGCTTTTCCCACCGACTCTCTGCGGAATGCCGTAAGATTTTCACTGATGAAAATCTTGCTGGCTTGAACTCGATCTGCTGCTGTAGCATCCAGAAATATATCGGCAAACTGTACATTTCTCAGTCGAACTCTCTGTTTATAAAGAGAAGATTTCACTTTATGACTAACGAAACGTATAATAATTGGGCTGGATTTCTTTCTTTTCACTCGATGGCAGATGTCGATATCGTCGAGTTTTACTGGAACACATGTACACAACGCATTGGCGATTTTGAGTACTGCACCTTCATTTTCACGAATACTTTCAGGAATACCGACAATCTCGAACGAGTTCTTTCTCGAGTATCGCTCCAAATCGTCCAAATCATCGTACAGTTCATTTAGTTCATCTCTTTGCAGTGAGATATTTCGTTTAGCTGCGTCAAGTTCGATTCTCAGTTCCTTGTTGGTGTTTTGCACATCGCTTAGCACGGTCTTTGTCGCCAACAGCTCGTTTTCCAATCTCCTAAGCGACGACTTCAGTTCACCAACTTCGTTCGAGAGTTTGTTGTTCTCCTTGAGGGTATTTTCTGTGGTTCTTTGTATGCTAATGAGTAAAGTTTGGATATCGTAAAGGTTGGGTTCTTTTGTAGTGTCAACCTCTTCTACTTCTTCGACTTCTTTTTCGCTCTGTGCGTTGTCGGCCGCCATGTTCGGGCGCTTTGACGCAGATATTTCTTCCTCTGTAGAACCTCTTGCACCTCTCTTGTTCTTTTTACCTTTTGCAATAGGCATTTGTCTCGGAGGCAAACTTAAATAACGATTCCAGGTTCGCAAAGGGAAAGATTTCTTCCCGCTCAGAAAACTTGGCCGCTCTCGGCCATTGCTCACGTGACTTCCACTCCTGGCAATTCCATTAATCCCGCACAAACCCCGTGGCGGTAGTATAAGAAATTTACGATGACGAGAAATTTGTTTCGCTGGCTGTAATAACTGCAAAAAGAATATTTTACGTCTGAGCTAAAATATAAAATCAGTTGAAGGCAGTTGGCCTTGTATAAATGTTACATAGTAATAAACTGATCACGTGATCGATCATGACTACGGACAGAATATCTAGCGGGCAACAAAGACGGTTGAATGCGCGGGTGATAATGGTAAATTGAAACATTTGCTTACCTCTCTCCCTGATCATATTGGCCAGCCTCTTATTTTCAGTAGTGTCCAATAGCCATATCAAGAAGCCAGCATCTCCAAGCGAAATTATGCTTCGTTTTCGTAGGAAATTTACAAACTCTCGTGGTTCCTTGATCTCATCAAGTCTTCCTCTCGGTAAATTGTTGTTTTGCTCCGAGCACAGAAATTTCATCTCCTGCATTTCTTCTTTGGTAATTTCGTCAGTAATTTCCACCAAGAAAGCATTGAACTCTGCCTCATTTGCACACGTTCGCAACGGAGTAATATCAGCCATGCTTGTTGATAATCGATCAACCAGGACGAGCTATTTCATTAAGCTGTCTGTTAGTTACATGTTTCCCAGAACAAGGGTTACTCAATATTCAGAATTCTCGGAAACTGAACAAAAGCGGGGTCACTACCATTGTTGCTAATAAACAACCCGCAGTCTCAGTCGCAGTCAATTGTTGAGAACATTTTAGGTCGTTAAAATTTCATCGGTAATTTCCACCAACAAAGCATTGAACTCTGCCTCATTTGTACACGTTCACAACGGAATAATATCAGCCATGCTTGTTGATGATAATCGATCAAACAGAACGAGCTAAGCCATCCGTTAGTTGCATGGCTTGTTTCCCTGAACAATGGCTACTTAATATTCAAAATTCTCGGAAACTGAACCGAAGCCAGGAAACTACCATTGTTGCTAATAAACAACCTGCAGTCTCGGCCGCAGTCTCGGCCGCAGTCAATTGTTGGGAACATTTTCGGTCGTAAAAAAAAGAACTTACGTAAACTTTTAAGCGTTCCCCTTTTAAATCAATGCAAAATGATCAAATTCTTACGCAGTCATTCATGTAATCTAATTTTAAAACATTCTACCAAATCTCATTTTTATGTAATCATTTTTTACCTTCAGTTTCTACTTTCTTCGATGTACATAGTTTTATATTGTATTTTAGATTTAAATTTATCATTATCATTATTTATTTTATTTCATTCAGAGGGCCACGAGTTTATTAGTTTTATTACTGTCAAGTGTTCCCCTCCCTATGTTGGGACATTTGGTTAGAAGCTACTCTACATAAATTTGATACATAAATCCTTCATAAATTTGATCTTCATAAAAAAGATCTTCATAAATTTGTTCCTTCTGCAACAAATGCTCGAGGGTTTTATCCGGGTTCTCCGGTTTTCCTCCCCCCACAAAAAAACAGCATCTCCAAATCCCAA